TCCCGCATCCGATTCGTCTTCCGTGACTCACCGCTGTGACTTTTCACGTCTCTGGGCATCGCAAAGTCCCCCCCACAATCTTCGTGACTTTAACTCCCTCGCCCCCCCCCCTCCTCCTCCTCCTTTATAGCGGCCGGCCTCACGAGTTTATTGGGGTGGTGTGGGGTGGTTTCTTTTCTCTTACTGCGAGTCCAGAGGGTCCACGTTGACACAGCGGGGGAAATTCCACGTTGCAGTGACGAGGGGTGACAAGTCCATCCTTGAATAAACATCGCCGTGCAAAAGATGCTGCTGCTGCTGCTACTGCTACTACTGGACAGTGGGATTTAATTGAATGGCTTTAGCTACCCTGGAGTGATGATGATGATGATGACGACGTCGATGATGATGTTTCGATTTAAAGCTTCTTTCGTGACTGCAGGGATTGATCTTCTTGGTTCTTTTGGTAAAGTCACGTAGAAGGGAAATAATAAAATAATAAAAATAAAACATAATAAAATAATTCTCACGACGCTTCAGACGCTGTCTGTCCGACAGACCTGTTCTTCACCTGAGGACGGCTGCTTGCGTTGTGGCCCGAAACGTCGTGAGAATTATTTATTTCGTTATATTTTTTGTTATTTTATTATTTCCCTTCTGCGTGACTTTACCGAACGAACCAAGAAGATGAATCCCTGCAGTCACGAAAGAAGCTTCAAATCGAAATTTAACGTTCGCATTAATAGCGCGACCATAATTTTCAACGGGCATCCAAAAAAGCCTCCATCCCGACAGCCACGTGGTTCTACCGATCCCTTCAACAGAACGCGGCAAACATTTGCCGCGCGTGCGATCGGCTTGCGGAGCGTGAGGCAGAGGTCGCAAACGGGTTTATCATTTTTTCACTCGAGGAATCCGATGAACCATGAAGCTCTGGCCCACAGATCTGGCCAATCGAGAGCACGGGTCACAGAGAACACGACAAAGGAGCGCCGCGTATGGGAAAGGCGAGAAAAGTTACCTCTCGAACACAACGCGTGCACAACGGCGTCGTCGACTGGGCAGGTCTCGGCCCCGCGGGGGGGTCAGAGTGTGGGTGCGACTGCCTCTCGCGGCGTGAGATGAGAGGTCACCGCCGAGCCAAATGACCCTCACGCCAGAGGTCGCAACCGGGTACCGATACCCGTACCCTACCCGATACCCGGCTACCCGTTTGCGACCCTGGTGCGGCCGGGTACGGGTACGGATAGGCCGTGAGTCACTGGTGAGTCACCGTTTGTCACTCATTTCCCAACGTCTTGTCTCTTCTCACAATTCAAGTTGCTAGAATCAACCCACCCGTGCCTGCAACATGGCTTCATCCCAGAGGTCGCAATCGGGTACCCGATACCCGTACCCTACCCGATACCCGGCCGGGTACGGGTAGGGTACGGGTACGGCCGGGTACGGGTACGGGTGCCCGTTTGCGACCCTGGTGCGGCCGGGTACGGGTAAGGAATCAAAACCCGTTTGCGACCTCTGCTTTACCGAAAAAGTATTCGGATTGTGATACGTGCACTTTCCTGGGTGGATGGAGGCGGGAGTGGGGGGGGCGTATTTGGGGGGGGGGGGGGTTGGTGGGCGGCTGAGATTTCAGAAACTCGCCCCATTGTTTCAACGGCCACTCCGGAAGATGGAGTTGAACCGGTCGACCTCTGCATCTGCAAGTCAAGTGGTGCCGCTAACCATGACGCCACCGCCGTGGCAGCTACACCATCCAGATGGGCACGGAGGAAGAAAACAAATCAACTAGCGACGCCAACGCGCGCAAGAGATGATGACGACGATGATGATAGACCGGGATGGGGGCTGCACAGATGGGTACAAGAACCCACGAATGCCACACGACACCAGAAACAAAGATGCCCCGTGTAGTCTCATCAGACTGTTGGGGCAAGTGCTGTTAGCGAGTAGCACCGATGAAGGCCGGAACGGCGCGCGAGAGGGTGGGTGGTCAGCACCACGCCGGGCTGCCTTTGTCTCCCCAGTGGCGATGTTGAGGCTGAGTCGACCTAGGGGAGGCCCAGGATCGGTTCAGATAATCGAGACCACCACAGACATCGCCACCACACAGAATCTGTTTTTATCCTGGAGAAATCCGATGAGCTATGAAGCTCTGTTTCACACATGTCACAGAAGCCCACACATACTCACCCACACACACTCACCCACACACACTCACCCACACACACTCACCCACACACACAGACATCACCACTACACCCACCACCACCACAACCACCACCACCACTCACACACACTCACCCACACACACTCACCCACACACACTCACCCACACACACTCACCTACACACACTCACCCACACACACTCACCCACACACACAGACATCACCACTACACCCACCACCACCACAACCACCACCACCACTCACACACACTCACCCACACACACAGATGATCTATTTCTCACACAAACACCACACCACCACAGACACACACCACCACCACTACACCCACCACCACTACACTCACACACACCACCACACTCACACAACCACCACCACTACACACACCACCACACTCACACACCACCACACTCACACACCACCACAGCCACGAACTACACACACCACCACACCCACACACACTACACTCACACACACCACCACCACCACCACCACCCTACACACACCACCACCAACCACACACACACCACCACACTCACACACACACACCACCACACTCACACTCACACACCACCACACACACACACACCACCACCACACTCACACACACCACCACCAACCACACACACCACCACACCACCACACTCACACACCACCACCAACCACACACACATGGCCGCTCCAATTGACCCCCGTGACCCGGCAAACAGCACGGGCCGTTGTCACGGTGACGAGCAAACTGGACAATTAGGGGATCCGGTGGGGGCCAGTGCCCCCCCCCCCCTCGAGCTCCCACAGCAAACAGCGAGACCCCCAAACAGCCCCAAGCTACAACCCCACCCCCAACACGTGCCCTGGGGGGGAGGGGGGGGCACGGGGGCACCCACACCCCCCCCCCCACACACATACCGAGAAAGTGCGTGGGAGGGAGGTCAGTGCGGTGTTGCGTATGTGGGTGTGTAGGTGTGCGTGTGTGGGTACGTGTAGGTGTGCGTGTGTGGGTACGTGTGTGTGTGTGTGGGTGAGTAGGTGTGCGTGTGTGGGTGTGTAGGTGTGCGTGTGTGGGTGTGTGTGTGTGGGTGAGTAGGTGTGTGTAGGTAGGTGTGCGTGTGTGTAGGTAGGTGTGCGTGTGTGGGTGTGTAGGTGTGCGTGTGTGGGGACGTGTGTGTGGGTGAGTAGGTGTGTGTAGGTAGGGGTGCGTGAGTGGGTGAGTAGGTGTGCGTGTGTGTAGGTAGGTGTGCGTGTGTGGGTACGTGTAGGTGTGCGTGTGTGGGTACGTGTGTGTGCATGTGTGGGTGAGTAGGTGTGCGTGTGTGGTGTGTGTGTGTGGGTGAGTAGGTGTGTGTAGGTAGGGGTGCGTGAGTGGGTGAGTAGGTGTGCGTGTGTGGGTACGTGTGTGTGTAGGTGTGCGTGTGTGTGTGTGTGTGTGAGTAGGTGTGTGTGTGTGGTGTGTGTAGGTGATGCGTGTGTGGGTACGTGTATGTAGGTAGGTGTGGGTGAGTAGGTGTGCGTGTGTGGGTGAGTAGATGTGCGTGTGTGGGTGTGTAGGTAGGTGTGGGTGAGTAGGTGTGCGTGTGTGGGTGAGTAGGTGTGCGTGTGTGGGTGTGTAGGTAAGTGTGCATGTGTATAGGTAGGGGTGCGTGTGTGGTGTGTGTAGGTGTGCGTATGTGGTGTGTAGGTGTGCGTGTGTGGGTGAGTAGGTGTGTGTGTGTGGTGTGTGTAGATAGGTGTGCGTGTGTGCGTTATGTGAGTGAGTAGGTGATGCGTGTGTGGTGTGTGTAGGTGTGCGTGTGTGTGTGTGGATGTGCGTGTGTGGGTGAGTAGGTGATGCGTGTGTGGGTGAGTAGGTGATGCGTGTGTGGTGTGTGTAGGTGTGCGTGTGTGGGTGTGTGTGGGTGTGTGTGGGTGTGTGTGTGGGTGTGTGGGTGTGTGAGTATGGGTGTGTGTGTGTGGGTGAGTAGATGTGCGTGTGTGGAGCGTTAGTGCAGCAGTTAGCGCTACGCTACGCTGCGCTACGAACCCGGCGACCCAGGTTCAGTTCCCGCTCACGGCCAACACCGGTGATAGCGATTATCTGGGCTTCTCCTAGGTCGACTCAGCCTCAAATGAGTATCTGGTGCGGTGTGTAAACATCGCCTTCATAAGTGCTCGCTAACAGTACTTGCCCCAACAATATTTTAAGGCTTTCCGGGGAATCTTTGTCTTTGTGGGAGGGAGTGTGTGTGTGTGTTGGTGTGTGACAGAGATAGCGTGTGTGTGTGTGTGAGAGACAGAAGGCGTCTCTATGTGTGTGTGTGTGGGCGGTTGCGCGCGTGTGAGGGGTAGTATGTGCGTGTGTGGAGGAGTGTTTGAGTGTGTGGGTGTGGAGGAGTGTGTGCGTGTGTGTGTGTGTGGAGGAGTGTGTGTGACACAGAGAGAGAATAACTGTGTATGAGAGACAAAGTGTGTGGTGTGTGTGTGTGTGAGTCTGTGTGTGTGTGTGAGTCGGTGTGTGTGTAAGAAAGTGGGCAACAGTGTTTGTGTGAGATAAGGTCTGCATGGCTGAGTGAAAGAGTGCCTGCGTGCGTTTATGTATTTGTGTGTGTGTGAGTGTGATGGACAATCTGTATGAGTCTGGGTAGGTGTGTGTGAGTGTGTGTGTGTGAGTCTGGGTGTGTGTGTGTGTGAGTCTGCGTGAGTCTGTGTGTGTGAGAGTCTGTGTGTGTGTGTGAGTCTGTGTGTATGTGTCTGTGTGTGTGTGTGAGTCTGGGTAGGTGTGTGTGTGTGAGTCTGTGTGTGTGTGAGTCTGGGTGTGTGTGCGAGCGACATTGGGGTGCGATGATGCGCCCACTAACCCGGCGCACCTGAGTTCAATCCCCGCTCGCAGCCAACACCAGCGACGATTTTCCGAACCGGTCCTGCCCTAGGTGGACTCAGCCTCAAACGAGGTACCTGGTGTAGCGGTGTGTGGTAAACATCGCTACAAGGGAGACAAAGGCGGCCGGGCGTGGTGCTGGCCACCCACCCACTTCGTGGACCGTTCCGGCCTTGGTAGGTGCTACTCAGTGACGGGGTCTTGCCCTGCAAGGCTACACTGGCGGTCTTTGTCTATGTGAGAATGCGTGTGAGAGCTATCGTCAATGTGTGCGTGTTGTAAGGGAGATAGCGCG